TTGTCTAGTTGGTGTGCCACGTCACATTACTTCAGATAACGACCCAACTTTTAAAAGCCCGAAGAGATATAGATTTGTCGATTGAAACAAATTAATTGGCGATATTCTTCAATATAAACCCAAGGGAAGATGGCTTAGAAGAAGCTTTCAATAAATATTGGTTAAGCTACTCAAGAAGATTCTCAGTAAAAGCAAATGAGAATGACAAACTAAGATGATGGAAACACTATGGGACATATTAAGATGGAGACATTATGGATTTATCACACAACTTATAAAACACTGACTAATGCTACTTCTTATAAGATGGTGTTCAGAGCTCAACAATACTGACACTAGAAGTTGAGTTGTCATCACTTAGAGTAGGGTTGCTAATTTAACTCAAAGATTGTTAATCGCTTGAAAATTGATTTAAATTTTCACTCAGCTCGAGATCAGATCAAAATAAATAAGCTGAGCTATGAGCCAAAAATTTGGATCAAATTTTTTTCGAGCCACCCCGACTCAAATTGAAATCGGATCGTTAACAACCATAGTGATGTTAGGGTTGTGAATGTAGCAAATTTAGCTTGAAGATCATTAATCACTCGAAGATTGTTAGTCGCTCGAAAATTGATTTGAATTTTGGTTCTGATCGAGACCAGATCAAAATATACGAGTCAAGCTATGACTCAAAATTTTGGATCGAAGTTTTTTTTTTGTCAATAATTGGATCATTGATAGTTCTAGCTTTGAGTAGCTATCTAGTATTATCTTACCCAAGAGCGAAATGCTTGTCTGAAAATGGAAGAGTTGGATGTATTGGATGAAATGAGACTCCAACATCAATTGAACCTTGAAATTTTTATTGCAAAAATGTCTCAAACTTTTGATCACATGGTGTGCCCTTGGACATTCCAGAAAGGGGAACTATTCCTAATGCTAAGAAGGTCAATCATTTCCCATCAAAGGGTTGGTGGTAATTTCATACCAAATTGGGAAGACCCGTTTGTTATTAAGGTTTATCAGAGAGAATCTTATCAGTTTATTAATTTGAACGAACAATAACCAATGCCTTCAAGTCGATACTTGAAAAATTGTTACATATAGTAACCAAGCCAGAGGTAATATGCTCAAAATTTCATTTGAAGATGTGAAAAGATTTGTTTTATGTTCATATGTATTCAAATTTTATTTGAAATTATATTGTAACGTAGGAATACATTTTAAAGTTATTTAAACTTCTTCCTGCAAGATTGGTGACTTTTGTTTGTTATTTGAGCTTGTGTTGAGTTTAAAATTAAAACTCACAAAATATGCCGCACTGCAAAAATTTTCCTAGCAATAGTGGGGGCATTTTCTTAAAAAAATTGTATACAATGTATTTAATGTCTGCTTGTGAGACAAGAGGCTCGTTACTTAGCTTGACATCATGCTTTAGGTCGAGATCCCCAAACATGATGCAAAATCCTCCATTTTAAAATACAAAATATTTGGGTTGACGACTAGTCTTAACACAAAGATCGCCAAATATTTTATAGAAAAAACTGTCATTAGGCAAAAAGATATGCAAGATAGATTTAAAGGATAAAGGTTTTTTTTAAAATTATTGAAGAAAATCTTAAAAATGCAAATACAAAGACTTCAAGATTTGCAAACTTTGAAAATTCAAATTGGAAGGATGTAATTTCTACCACAGCTCAAGTCTAAAGACTCAAGTGGGTCGAGAAGGTTGGACTCAACATGCTCAAATATGGTCAAGTCGCTGACAGCTATACTCGGTAAGCCCTGAAAATGGTTGTAGTGAAGGAGTAAGCTATTCTTACTCAACAATCTATAAAAACGACTAAAGTGGAGGAGCCCCTACCTTATTAATTTAATGACAAGAGTTGTTTAATTCCCATAACTATCTAATTTGACAAGTTCAAGCTTCCTAAATCTAGGAGTCTTTTCAACGAATTGATAGATAAAGGAAAATTCATAAGTCTATGAACTGAATCTTATTAAGCTAAGCAGCACAAGTTTGTCATGGTCTAAGTCTGGAACTCAAACGGTTCAAGAAGATCAGACTCATCAAGACCAAATATGGTTGAGTCGTTGACAACTTTCTTCAATCAACAAGCCAAAAAAAAGGCCGCAATGAAGAATTCTCTATTTTGTTGGTCCAATGAAAATACTATAAAACTCCCAAGTATATTCGACTTGATAAGTTCAAGTTAACTAAATTATGAAATTTCTCTTGATTGGTCAAAAGGTCATTGAAAAATCAAAAGAAATGAACATCAATGATGAGAGCTTCAAGCTAAGCTTAATGTCCTGCTTAAATTAAACAAAACCAAACTTCTTTTGAAAAGGTCTGATCAAGCATAAGGCATAGACTAGATGAATTCTCTTCTTTAATAAGAACATCAAGACAAAAAGGCTCAAGTTCGAAGCAGTTATAGCGATAGTTTATGCAAAGCTCGTGGCTGAACTAGGGGAATACAATCATCAACAAGCTCGATAAAGCACTAAATGCAGGACTGATGATTTCTCATCATCAACCTAATACAACCCTAAAAGATAGGTCACTTGTATACATTTTTCAACAGTAATGCAAGACGAAACTTTAATGCAAAGGGGAAATGAATTAAAAATAAATGGGAACCTTTCACTAATAAAATTATAAAAACATACAAATCTCAAAGCACACTAAATCAAAAGAAGTACAACACATATCACAGAACACGATACTACAGAGCTCGAAGTTGTGTCATGATCTCAGTAAGAGTCGGGTACTTTGTCTTAGCGACTTGCAACTCCATTTGTTGAGTCAATGCTGACTCGGCTATTAATAATGCCTGGTGATAAATTTGGTACCGTCGCTGGTCCCTCTCACCTATTTGTACCTGTTTAGCAAGCTCTACTTGAAGGCCAGCTTTGCATGATATACTATCTTTAATTTTCCTCAGAAAATGCTTCATGCGAGCTTCTAAACTCTCAGTCTCACCGAAAGTATCAAAAGAACACTGACAAGACATTCTGAGGGCTTTAGGGCACCTCTCCAACTCATCATATGGAACGTCAACTGCCTCGCGACAGCTCCTAAACTTTTTATGAAGAGCAGGTAATGAAGCTCTGGTTCGAGTAATAATAAGAGTTCTAAGTCTGTAAATCAAGAGCTCTGCCTCCCGACATACCACCTCTCAATATGTAAGCTCTAAGCCCTCTAAACTAAAGTGTAATAGAATGTTCACTAAGACATTCACATCTGTCGTAAAGCTCTCCAAAAACTAGGGTGATTCTAGATCTAATCTAGATATCATGCTCTACAAAAATGCTAAGCCATACTCATGTATATCCAGATGGTTTGGGTCAGTAAATTAAAGAAATTGGTAGCAGGTCTCTGTTGGCACTGTTTAGAATAATAATAATGTAATCATAAGACACCAGCATATGATAATGGATACACATATGCATATTAAGGTAAAAGAAAATAATATTACCTAAACTTAAACCTCCAACATCCACTGAAGAGCTGTCTGGGGGAGGTATATGAGGTATGATAACTAAATCAAAAGGAAGTGGAAATTAGCATTGACTCATCGGATAACAACTCCACATCAGTTGATATCCTATGATCAGGAAGAATATCCTCCAGTGTTATAAGGGACTAGGGAATATGGTCATACGCTTGATCAATAGAAGTAGAAGAAAACTCTGTTTGTCGAGATCTAACAATTATGTCTGTTGAGGGAATATTAGTAGAAGGTGGAGTTGCCTCCCTAGTTTGTACTCTAGTCGGCGAGGAGACAATATGTTCTGCTATGGACTCATCCTCTCTTCTATCTGCATCGTAAACAGAGGATTAAGTAAAGATAGTCATAACAGATAGTTTAAGAGTTTAATATAATGGCTAAAGTTTTGCTGATACGGAACATAAAAAATGATAATAACAAGTTTACCTCTAACATCGCTAGCATATGGAACACATCGACGAGGCTTTTGACCTCAAGAACTCCTAATAGCTCACCTAACACTCATATTTACGAGCACCATACTCTATGAAAGCACCAAAAAATAACATCACTTGCGTCAGTCGTGTATAGCTCACTCATGTGAGGTTACTTGGAGGGGATATTCTCGGTCGTGTGTCGAGTCTGAGTAAATGGAACGACACCCTGGAACCCGTGTAAAATATACATTTGCAGGCACTGACTCTATCTAGTGAGCATATGCAACAGTTAATCATAGGCTATAGCCTGAGACCAACCAAACTAACATGCCACCTTATTAGGCCGATAACCTTCTAGAAAAATTGAAGATCCACCATCCTGACTGTAAACTAACAAAATACCGCTACAAAATTAACTAGCATTGAGTAATGTATGAGAACACACAGAACTCATGTGGGAAGCACAAAAGTAAACAACCTTGTCGCTAGAAATCAGCTAAAAATAGCTCATCACCTACACCGACCTATCCAGAGATGGTTGATCAAGCTCTAATGATGGCTCAACATATTCCTCTGATAGAGGGTCACCACGCTGCAACTCAAATCCAAAATGGCCGTCTAACTGTGTTGGGGTGTCTACAAACAATTTTCTTACATAAAACTCTGAATCCACGCATCCACAAGAATGGTAATTGGTACGCTGCAACTCAAATCCAAAATGGCCGTCTAACTGCGTTGGGGTGTCTGACAAACAATTTTCTTACATAAAACTCTGAATCCACACATCCACAAGAATGGTAATTGGTGTACGTGCATAAATCTTATTGATGATAACAAACACCAAGGTTGATATTGATCGGGTGCATCAACTTTATTGACGATAAAACAACTACTGACAATTGCTTTGTTTGTCAACAAGCATTGACATTATTGGCGACAGACGGCAGTCATGTTGGCATTAAGTTTCAAGGATCTTCATGTAAAATATATTAATTGTATAGATTATTTTGTAATCATTAATTAAGAGTGAATTTCATCTAATTTTCAATTTCAAAAATAATTTGCCCTTTCTTTCCGTCGACGGAAGGTCAGCAATTGAACTCAATGGAATCCAGCAACCTACAGTTGGAATTGAACATGACAGGCAAGTTATCCCGTGAAATTATTTATTATTTTAATTTACTGAAGGAATTTGTTTGGCATGTCTGCTTCCGTGTATTTTGATTGACATCGATCCATTTATGTATAATACAAAAAATAATATGTTCTCATAAAAAGATTTCCGAATAACATAAAATATTTATAGAAAATGCAATTAGATAGGAGAAAATTTTACATCCGGAGTCCGGACATAGCTTTGTGTGCGGACACTAGTATTAGTTATTGGAGTGTAGCTATTAAGGGGTTATTGGGGGATCATTGAGGGGTTATTGCGATGTTATTGAAGTTAATGCCCCAATTACCCCCGCAATAACCCCCAATAACATCTGCGGTTCCATTGCAAAAACCCTCTACATTAACCCCGGCAATAACTCCCTAATAATTTTAGTGGTTTCACTTCAATAATCCCATAATAACCTCCATGTGACAGCATATAATTGAAAATTCGCACACAGCTGCGTCCATATCTAAAATTTTCCCATGAGATACAATGTTATTAATTAGATTAACATATAATTTCCTTATATAATAAGTGTTGAAAACATAGTTAATTCAATAGAAAGATGATGGGTACAAAAAGTTGTATGCAGTTGAAATAAATATTGTAATTGAGTTTTGAAGAAATTAGTTAATATAACAAAAACAAAAGTTATAGAGATTCATTACAATTAAACTTATTTTAAAATTTCAGTTTTTGCCGCCTTTAAATATTTCAGTAGGAATAAGTAAACATCTAAATTTTATATGATATAAAGCTATAGAAATTAAATATTGATTCTTATGATTTGTAATTTTAGCTATTGCAAGGTTTTAAGTCCTATTTTATTTTATTTTATTTTATTTTATTTATTTATAATTTGTAGTCAACTCGAAGTCAGTTTATGAATTCGTTTAAATTGAGTTATTTGAATCAACTTGGCCCAACTTAAAATTAAGTTGAGTTAGTGTCCAAATGAACTCAATAATTATGAGTTTGACTTGATAACATGTTTAATTTAAACATAAATAGAGATTATGTAGTTTTAATTAAGATCATTAATTATTTTCATTTCCATAATTGTGCTTAGAATGAGAAGTTAAATGAGTGATTAGTCTAAGGGTAGTTACATATTTAGATTTATTATTAATTTATTATGATTGAATCAATCACATTAATTTTTTCTATTAATATTAAGTTATGATAATTAAGTAATAATTTAAATAATTAATACGAGCAATTTTAATTTGTAAGTTTTCATTTAATTATATGTAGTTAATATTTTATTAATACCCCTAACATTTATTATTATTGGTTATGGTACTCAAGCATGGTGTAAGACTCAAATATTTAAAAATTAGCAAATTTCTTGGGCTAAATGAAGATTGAAATATTTTATTGATCAATAGAATTTTATTTATATATAAATATTTAAAAAATAAAAAAAATGTAAACAAAATAAAATCAACACCACAGATTTAAATATGATTATGTTGTGATATGCATGCTCAAGGATTGGTTTGAATATTAATTTCTAGGGAAATTTACATGCATATTACATAATTCTTATGTATTTACATATCAAACATCTATATTTTCATATTTACATTTATGACATAGGAGCTTCAAAAATTTAAGCACGAAAAATATAATATTTCTTTCCTATGTGATATCAAATATTTGGGAAAAAAATTGCATTAGCGCTGTATATATTTTTGAGGTCATACAGGGGGTATAAGAGAAGTATATCCGCGTTATATCCTCTTGTAACCTTCATGTAATCTTCTGTAATCTATAAATAAGTTTTTAATATATGTAAACAGGTAACCTTCATGTAATCTTCTGTAATCTATAAATAAATTTTTAATATATGTAAACAGAAGCGCGAAACTTATTTGTATGTTACATGTAGGTTACAGAAGGTTAAGTGCGAAACTTATTTGTAGGTTACATGTAGGTTACAGAAGGTTGGTTACAGAAGGTTACATGAATATTACAAGGGTGAATAACGCGGATATAACCCCCTTATATCTTATGTATAACTTCTAAAATGTATACAGCGTTGCTTACGTCTTACGTACGTAATTTTTTTCCAAATATTTTAGTGTCATGTCTGTAAACACACGAAAGTTCTGATGCTAGATATATAAATACATGATAATTATGGGGGTATGTAGGTAAATGTCTTCATTTTCTTACTTACGAACATAATTATTTTTTATATAAAACAATTTCAAATAAATAATATATAAATGTAGGGAGAGAGACAGAGACAGTGATAATCATGAACAGCTATTAATGCGCACTACACAGTATGATTTGAGGGGGAATGTCTTCTCCCCAAAAAATCTTAAATTTTAGATCTCGTATGCTTAAAAATGACTTACAAGTCATTTATGTTTGAAAGTTCGCCCCACGCGAACGTTTTCTATGATAGGTTAGGCATTCTTACCAAGTCGGTGTGCGACCGTCCCCCACCGTTGAAACGGTGGGTGATTGTTCCGAATTAGGAAGCTTCTTAACCTAGTTAAAAAATGAAAAAATAAATTTTTTAAAATTAAAAAAAAATGTGAGATAATCATGATTTAATTTTCATCCAATAAATTCTAAAATTTTGAATAGTTATAATTTTTTAATATTTATTCTCTTTTGTTGGTTTAATATATAGAACTTCTTAATAGTTTATCACCGATGTTTCATCAACAAATTTTAATCATTGGTCAAGATTTCAATGTATTTTAAGCAAAATAAATATTCAAAATTCAAATTCATGATCATCACTGTGCCGATTTCAACAAATTTATAGTGAAATTGTGCATCTCGACAAGATGAGCTCAATAACACTGAAAGTGATCTATGCCTGGCCTAGATAAAATACTTAAGTGCAGTCAAAAGATTTAGTGCAAGCAATTGAACAGTCAAATGATCTCAAATTTTGACATACTAATAATCTAATCAAATATCTTGACGAAAGAATCTACGGAGCTTATTACCATTCAATAACATTAAGACAATTAAATGTTCAAAAATTTATATGTGATCAAGAGAATCAATGTGGATTATCCGATGAAGTGTTTAGAAAACTTAGTCAAATTTACCAAAATGCACCTCTAAAAAATTTTATAAATAGGTCCACATTCTTCACATGAGTGAGGAGGAGAAAAAAATGAGTTCACAATTCTAAACTTAACTTTTGAAATTTTGATGGTTGTCACTATTTGCCAAAATTTGCTGCCGACTGCTAAGATCACCATGAACCAACAGAGGTAGTTGCCAACCACTATCAGTGGACGACCACCACCAACAATTGTTAATTATAGCCTCTAACAATGGCTTTGGTAGCCCTATTACAATTATTATGATCATCAACAAGGACTTATATGGTTAACTACAACTTCTATAACCAATTATGATTGTTTTACCCTCACCACGACTATCGCAGTTTGATTATAATAATTATAGTCCCAACTACTTTTGTACAGCTATATATGTCTATTATTTCAAAATAATTATAACGTTTGATGGGTCGTTAATAAATTTTATCACTTGATACAAATCTCGAGGTGATTAGCACAAATATCAGAGCACATTTTAACAAGAAAAAAATCAAAATTAAATTAAAAATAATCTAGACTGACTGCCTTGATGAGATAAATACAAAGAAATGTCCTATACAAGTCAAAACAAGGCCATATCAAGCCTTTAAATCACATTTTAATACTTTTGGTGGTTAATTAGAAGGTCAAATGGATTTCAAATCTCACAAGTTTATAATCAAATCGAGCATCTTGAAAGAAGAGTTAAACAAGCCTATGATCGCTAATTTCAACATTGTTAAGACACTTAGATATATGTAAAACACCGTCAGATCAAGGGAATTTATCTGAGTCGTCTGATGGAGTGGTTTATATTCCTTCATTATGTAAGGAGGTCACTTGGAGACTTTATAAGTAAAGCCCTACGCCCTTCATGAAAGGGCATGGAGGACCAAGAGCTGGATCGAGAGGAGTTAAATTCTAGTGATAATCTAGATCAAAGATTTGACGAATATTTTTTGTTCTCGTAACTGTCGACCACTGTAGACAATCACTCATCAGCTGACACCGACCACTACTGGCCACCCCACTCATCGATGTCAACACACCTCGAACATTGTGTAACGATGCACCCTGAATACGCTGTAATGATGAACACAATGCTATGCTAAATTATCTAAATATCGGGATCAATTGGTATTCCATCATTAATTGTCATTTGGCACAATTCTCAAGAAGATTAACACAAATCTCAAAGCATTTTCTTAGCAAGAAACATTCAAACTCAAATTAAAAATGATTCAGGATTTTGATTTCAAAAAACTTATAGTCAAACTGACTGGCTCGATGATGAGCACAATGACCCCAAAATTGGTCCAATTTGACTCAAATCAAGCCCAAATCAAGCAATTAAACAACTTTTGGAAGTTTTGGATGACTTATTGGAAGTTTCAATGGATTTTAAATCTAACAATCTTATAGTCAAATTAACAACATCTTGACAAGATAAAATCAATGAGTCAAAGATTGCTTAATTATTACATCATTAAGGAACTTAAATATTCACAAAATTGCCACCAATTAAAGGAATCTCACAGAGTCATATGATGGAGTGGTCCAAATTCCTTCCTTTTTTGCAAGGAGTCCACTCCCAGACTTTGCTTACCGACATTAACGCACCCTAAAGGTATAACGACGCACCTCAAAGATAATATAACGACACACCCTGAATATGTTGTAACCACACATTCCAAAGATGGAGGCCCTAGACTATGGAGGGGGGCATGTGATCTTGACCTGGACTTAGAGGAGAAGAGAAGGAACCAATTTTACACGAGTTTTGTACCGAAGACTAAGTGAACACTTTCTACTCTCACAACCACAAACCTCTTTTGACCCCACTTGCCAACCATCATTGACTACCGTCGGCTAGCACCTGCTCATCTTCATCGGTGGACATTGTTGGGTAATAAAGTAAGACAAAACAAAATACCTAAAATATGTTGCAGCATAATACCTCAAAGACAGTGCAACAATATGCTTCGAAGATGGTGCAATGACACACCTTAAATATATTATAATGACATACCTCAAATATAGTGTAATGACCCACCCCTAAGATGGTGTAACAATACACCCCAAAGATGGTGTAAACTCCTTACAATAACTGCTTACAAATGTCGTGTTCATAATACAGTGATCTTCTCCAAACTCTTGAAGTTTTCTCATCACATCTCCCCACTACAACCAATAGTCTATGAGGTTTACTATAAATGAAACCCCTTATTATGGCCTTAGCAACCAATTGATGTTACTACAATCCTGAAGTTTTCTCCTCACAGCTCCCCACTACAACCTATAGTCTATGAGGTTTACTATAAATGGAACCCCTTATTATGGCCTTGGCAATCAATTGATGTTACTACAATCCCCATTTTGACCTACATCACCGATTATTACCTATGTGGCTCACAACTCATGCAACTCTCAATTTCGGCCTTTGTGACCTATAAATATTATTCTACGTGAACAACCACAACATTTGTGGCTCACGACTCATGGAGTTCCAACTCTAGCCTCTATGTCCTACGGACCTTATTGTAGCTCACCACTGTGATCTACATAACCAACTATGACCAACATGGCTCACAGCTCACGCAGCTCCTAAATCTAGCCTTCGTGGCATAGAGATGTTATCGTAGTTCACCACTAGGGTCTATGTGATCAACTATGGTCTATGTGGCTCACAACTTATGTAGCTTTCAACTCTGGTCTTTATTGCTTATGATTATTATTGCAGCTTAGGACTACGGTCTACGTGGCTCCCATCACATGCAACTCCTAAATCCAAGCTATGTGGTCTACATAGATTATCACAGCTCATCATTACGACCTATGTGACCAACTATAACCCACGACTCACTACTCATGCAGGTCTCAATTCTGACTTATTTGGTCTACGGATGTTATTACAACTCACTACTACAATCTTCGTGACCAACTACAGCCTGCATGATTTAGGGGTCATGCAACTCCTAACTATGGCTCGGTGGCCTATGATTGTTATTGTAGCTCAGCGTGATGGACTACGTGACCAAGTACAGTCTATGTGGCTAAGAACTCATGCAACTCCCAACTTTAGCATTTATGGGCTACAAATATTATTGCAACTCACCACCACGACCTATGTGATCCACATCTCATGTAGCGCTCACCATCGAACTCTGTGGACTACAAATATTATTGTAGCTCACTAATATAACCTACGTGACCAACTACAACCTACGTGGTCTATAGCTAATGGAACTCCCAACGCTAGCCTCTATGACATACTGATGTTATTGCAGCTCGTCACTACGACCTACATTACCAATTACGACCTACGTGGTTCATAGCTCATGCATCTCACAACTCCAGTCTATGTGGCCTACAAATGTTGTTAAAGCTCACCAGTATGGCCAATGTGACCAACTATGGTCTATGTGGCTGACAACTTTTGCAGGTCCATACTACGACCTCTGTGACCAACCAATGCTTTAGAAGCTACCGTCAACGACCTACATGACCAGCTACTACCACGGCTTTCAACTACGACTTTTACGATAATTTAGTGCCACAATCACTGTCTACAATATTCATGACAGACTACGACATCTTGAGTAATTGATTACTGCCTTTGCAGCCAGTTACGATTATTATTGTTGGACTTTCATTGTACATCAACATTGTATTTCTATGTTCTTTAATTCAAGAAGAGAGTGAGCTTAGTACTCACAATTCCTTAGTGAATTACTTCGACTTGGTCAGACCCAATAATTTTTTTTTTAGGGTTTTCCACATAAAAATCATCATGTCTCCTCCTGCTACCTATTTATTTTATATGTGTGTGCTAGATCTCGTACTATGCTAAGACGCTAATTATTCCTCCGTCATCGTAGTTCTTCCGACATACATCAATTTTAATTCCAATAATCACATCTTCCATAATCCATGTGAAAAATGAACTTTTGTAGTCCTGATTACATAATTAATTATTTTAATTGGGCAACGCCCCGTGATTTTTTTTTCCCTCTAATATTTTAATTTTAATTCCAATAATCACATCTTCCATAATCCAGGTGAAGAGTGAACTTCTGTAGTTCTGATTACATAATTAATTATTTTAATTGGGCCACGCCCCATGATTTTTTTTGTTTCCTCTAATATTTCTCCATGTAAAAATATTATGACATCCCCTGACATTAAATTTCTTTTATACAAATGTTGGAGCTTCACACAACACTAAGATGTTAAATTATAATTCTAACACCACAAATTTTCTAACATGCAACAATTATCTATCATATAATTCTCATTAAATAACTTTATTTTCTTAAATTGTTTCCATAAATGAATTTTTAATTTTTATAAAAAATACCACTTATTAAATTCGAGGCATATGCAACAATTATCTATCATATAATTCTCATTAAATATTTTTATTTTTTTAAATATTTTCCATAAATAAATTTTTAATTTTTATAAAAAATACAACTTATTAAATTCGAGGCATTTACGTACATTTCACATGTATAATTTTATTGTATTTACACATCTAATACTTAAATTCAATTTTTTATATTTATAGCATTCACAATTTTCACATCACATTAAAAAATATTATTTTAAAAAGAGAAATACACCTCTTCAAGCTTAGACAAAGCACAATGATTATGTGTCATGCATGTACATATTTCAAAAATTTAAATACATTCTAGCTAAAATTGGGCCACATTTCTTCTATCCCTTTTTTTTTTCTAACATTATTCTTGAATCAATACATATAGTCATCTAAGGACTGATCTGCAATTATCATGATTATATGTTTAATAATTTAATTGCATAGAGAATTGAAGGTTTCAACAAAGTTGGGCGCCGTTGCGACGCAAATTCTGCCGCACTGCCATTTGGATCAAAAACGATTCACCTATAAATTGAAGTTTCTTTAAAATTGTCAATTATTGATTATCCTAAAAATTACATTTTTAAACACATGTGCATATTATAATTTAATTGGTTATAAAATTTCGATATAATTCTCTTTGTTGTAATTGTAAAATTTTATTTGTAAATTTGGATGATTTTATTTATTTATTTATTTTCTTAAACTTATTGTCACGGACAAAAAAAGTCTCACATCGGCTAGGTGTGGGACCTAAAAATAGTATTTAAGTCCTGGGCTGCCTACCACGAAGAGCTCTTTTGGGAGGTGACAAGTTTGGGAGGTGACAAGTGATATCAGAGCAGATTACTCTGTGAGGGGTGTGGACTCTCCATGGTCATGTGGGACCCTCGGTGGAGTTGATCCGTGAAGAGGGCGTCACATGATTGGGTAGAAGAGAGTGCCACGGACAAAAAAAGTCCAACATCGACTAGGTGTAGGACCGAAAAATAATATCTAAGTCATGGACTGTCCACCACTTCGAATAGCTCTTTTTGGGAGGTGACATTATGCTATTCAGAAAGAAATCTTAAATTAAATCATTTTCATTAACTCACTTGACTTGGCTCATTTACAATATAGCATTTGAGATATTCAACTAAGTATTTCTATTTAACAAAATAGGATATTGACTTATACATTGTAATCAAACAATTCTCACATCTATTACAAATATGTTATTGTAATTATGAAACAGAGTTTAATTTATTATGAAAATAAGATTGATAAAAAAATGATAATATTAAGATATAAATAAAATAACAGAATCTCGACTCGCTCTTTTTAAAAGTTTGGACCTATTTATTCTTTCGTTCGGTCGGCTCAGAGTTCCGAACGAAAAAAAATAATGTTTGATGCTTACGTCTTTTCACTATCTCAAAATACTTTTCTTTGATCTTTATAAATGCAACTTGTCAGATTCTCTCGAGATTTGTATTGCCATAATTTTGATGTACTATATATATAGGATTTCACTATTGGACTTGCTACGATAAGTCAATCTTCTATGCTTATCCAAGGAGAAATCTTCACACCAATTTTCTTTGGGGCATTTACTCACATTCCACCCATTATATTTACATATATATTTACAATTTTAATACATAATCCTTACTTCCTTACATTTATACCACCAAAATCTTTCATATTATATAAAAAAATATCACTATTTTAACTTTGATCCTACTTTGAAAATTAGAAAAAGTAATATTAAGCTTCCAATTGTTAATGTACCGGCCAAAATTCTTTTAAGGGGCATTTACATACATACCCCACAATTCTTATGTATTTACATATCTATAACCTAAACATTCGTATTTACATTCATATCCCCAAAATGTTTAGCATTTCAACAAGAATATCGCAGCCACTATTTTGTTTGGTAAAGTAAAATTAAAAAGAAATGTATTTCAATTTAATGCATCTATCTTTCGTTGTGGGTGGCGAGTGCGGCTGCAAGCGGGGACGGCGATCAGCGTGGGTGCAGGTGGCGGCGAACGGGTGGGCGGGCGTCGCAGCTGGCTTGCAGTAGCCCGTGGGGCCATGTATAGTAGTTTATATTCAACTATCTTTTTGAAATTCGATTAAATCCGTCCAATTTTGAATTAAAAAAATGAGCTAAAGATTGAATTTAATTTTTTTATGAATAAACAACTTAGATTTTTTTTTTTTTTTTTTTTGAACTTACTGTTTTAAATTTTGGGCAGCTTTCCTTAACAAAATCACTTGTAAATTAAATTTATTAACCGGCTTTTCCGGTTAGTCACCTACAGCAGGAGGTCAAATTTCTGGCCGCGCGAAAAAGATATCTTTATAGCAAATCGAGGAGGATAACTACTCGCTTTCCTCCTCTCTTCATGGTCAGGAAAGGGTCCGCCAGCCAGCCACTCTTCTGACAAGAGGTACTGTTCTGCTCGTCGACCCTATAAAATCCTGGTGTTTGATTCTTCTAGGGTTTTCAGAGAAACTTTGCCAGCATTTTTCTGCATCATTCGACTGCTCTCGGGGCAATTGCGGTCCTCGCCGCTGTTACATCTAATTTTGTACTTTTCTGGAAATTTGGGCCTCATTGGTTCCTCCAGCATCTTAAGAATTCTGACCGAGGATAGGGATTTCGATCCATGGAAACATCCGGAAGAGAATCAGATCCTTATCGAACATCGGGCGCTTCCGGTGCTGTTGCGAATGGCGGCCTGTCGAGGAGTTACGCGATGCAGCTGTCGACTTCGAGCTTCATCCAAGCGCTTACTGCTTTTCTGGAGTACTCTGGAGTCCTGCGGTCGCAATCGAGCAATCATCGGCTGAGCGAGAGCTTTCTGTCAGGTGAAGCCAACGGGGGTCCGGTTGAACATGCTTCCGGCCGGCGGGAGTTGTCTTCGAGCTCGAGTGCAGGCGGTGATGGTGAGGTACTGATAAGGATTATCGTTCCGGGTGATCATGATGGCGTTAGGTCCGGTGGTCAGGGACCGGCTCTGCCGTCTGCTAGAGTAAGGGCCACTGGTGAGAATAGCGCGCCTGTCGAGGAGATTCCGACGGCGTCCGATGATAGTGGGCTTGGAGATGATGGCGGGAGCGAGTATGGGGCCAGGGAGGTTGATGGATCACCGGCCTCTCAGCTGCCATCGGTGTCACCCGCTAATACGCAGAGATCAGATGGTGAAGGGACCCTTGGGGGTGCTAACAGTAGCGAATCATCGTACCAGAGATTTGATATCCAGCAGCTTGCGAAATGGGTTGAACAAATACTGCCATTCTCATTACTTTTGTTGGTCGTGTTCATTAGACAACATTTGCAAGGTATTCTTTTTTTCTATCTTATCAACTGTGGTGTTTATGCGAATGGTAATATAGATCTTTACATTTGTGATGTAAGAGATAGAGATTCTCAATGGCTAATTCTCATCCTACCCAGTCTTGCCAAAGCGATCGTAGCTGCTGCGGTTTTTTATTGCAACTTTATAGTAGTTTAAAAGTAGTAGAAAATATTTTAAAAAATTATATCATGTGGGTTGTGATTGGTTGAGAAAAAGTGGGAGCAAGCAGCTTCTCTCATTCTTAAATTCCTCTACGCAAGTTTTTTTTATCAAAACCATACAAGTGTAAAGCTCGTGTATTTTGATAGAGTGTAAGGTTCACAGCTTCATTAATGGTCTACAGGGTGCGGTTCAATATGGTTAAATCTCTTTGGTTGTAGTGGGATTCCTGCCATAAAAAAATATCTATATTGGGTTTGACTGAAATAAATGGATTGTATAAATGCTACGTACCGCGTTTAGCATCCATTCCGTTCGATAATTGCGTATAAGTTTGTTCTATCGCTTTGCCAGCAATTTACCGAACACTTAAAATTGGAAACATTCTGAAATAGAATTATATTATTACTGGTGCACAATTAAGTTGGAAAAAGACTGTTTTTTGTACATGACAGATAATAACATCTTTTTTCTCCTTTTCCAATTCAAATGCTCCTCCTAAGACAAGTGGAACCTAACCAGAAATCGTTGATTTTTTGCACAACTGCTAAAATTCAAATTTAGTATGATGATATAAGCAGCATAGCAGATGTTCTGATCAACTTTGATACTATATATCATTCATTCTGGGAAGGACTGGGCAATTTAGTAGTGCATCCACTTGAGTTTTGGTTCTTCATATCTCTATCATTGATTCAATTCTAGACTTCTCAACTATTCTTTGAAAGAACCATACCTTTTCAGTTCATTCCTATGATTGCAAGTGCTTCAATTATTAACCTTATGGTGTGTCTCCCTTCAATTTTGAATAACCTTTTTTTCTCACTGAATGCATAGATAATTCGCCTATAAATAGGCGAGTACAAGTGATAAAAAGAGGAAAGAAATCTTTCTACAATTAAGTAATTCCTATAATTATGGAATAAACATAAATACCTATAATTAAAGAATTACCCTTTTTATACCATGACAAAATATAGCAAGTACTAAATAGAATAGCGTAAATAATAATGAGCGTAATTCCACACTCCCCCTCAAAGTGGGTTGTACAGATTGTACATGCCCAACTTGTTGGTTAACTCATCAAAACTGGACTTAGGGAGAGTCTTGGTGAGAATGTCTGCGGTTTGGTCTCTAGAAGGAGTATAGATCACTTCAATGATTCCATTGTCCACCTTCTCTGAAATGAAGTTTCTATCAATCTCAATGGTTTCGTTCGGTCATGATGAACAGGATTTTTTGCAATACTGATTGCAGCTTAATTGTCACAGAATACCTTGATAGAATTTTCTCCCATAATTCCAAACTCCTTGAGAAATCTTTTGATCCACATTCCTTCACAGATACCAAGCATCAGTGCTCTGTATTCTACTTCTGCACTACTCCGAGATACCACCGATTGCTTCTTATTTCTCCATGTCACTAGATTGTCACATACATCGAGCAATACCCAGAGGTTGATCGTCGGGTGGATATATCTCCTGCCCAGTCAGCATCAGTAAAGACTTCAACCTTTTGACTATCATTCCTTTTGAATAATAATCCTTTCCTAGGTGTCATCTTTAAGCATCGTAAGATACGGTTGACAGCTCCCATATGTTCCTCAGTAGGACAGTTTATGAATTGACTTACTATATTTACTGAAAAAGTTATGTCTGGTCTGGTGTGGGATAAGTAAATAAGTCTTCCAACAAGCCGCTGATATCGTCCTTTGTCGACAAGTAAACTATCATTCTCCATTCCAATCTTTTTATACGGGTCTATTGGAGTGTCTATTGGTTTGCATCCAAGCATACCAGTTTCTTTCAATAGGTCCAATGTGTACTTCCTTTGAGTTACGGCTATCAGATATTATTCTCCTTCCTTATTTTTTATCTTGCTTAATTAGTCTTGGAATGTAATAGGAATTTCTTTGAATTTATTTAGTTAGTTTCCTTATCTAAGGAGGAGAGACTCCTATATGTAAATGCACCTTGAATTGAATCATTAAGAAGAAATAAAATTTTCTCTTCAATTTTTAATTTTATGGTATCAGAGCATGAGATAAAATTCTGAAAAAAAAACCTTAGTCTTCGTCCCTGCGCAACCATTGCTCGCTTCCGAAATCGGAGGCTCATATCATCAAGCGGACTGTTCCATATTCACAGAAGAATAAGGAGAAACCACGGGTATGGTGTGATCATTGCAACAAGCCACGAAACACCAAAGAAACCTGCTGGTACCTCCACGGTAAACCTGCAGACCGGAAGCCAAGAAACAAGCGCAATCCACCTACTGCTAATGTTCTCGCCGAACAAACCAACCCATTTAACAAAGAGCAAATCAATCAACTCCTGAAACTGCTAAACCCCAGTTTGGCTACTGGTACCCCAACTTGTTCAATGATACATGAAGGTAGTCAACTAAACCCTTGGATTATTGATTCAGGAGCTTCTGATCATATGACAAATTTACACTATCTATTTCATTCATACATATCCCATGTTCTGGCCATAAAAAAGTTTGTATTGCTGACGGTAATTTCTCTTCCATTGTTGGAAAAGGAAACATTAACCTGTCCAAGAGTATAGGTCTTAAATATGTACTCTTTGTTCCAAAACTCAAATGCAATCTTCTATCCGTCAGCAAACTTTCAAAAGATTCTAACTGTCGTATAATTTTCTGTGATTCCTCTTGTGTTTTTCAGGATCAGAAGTCAGGGATGATGATTGGGAGAGCTAAAAAAATAGGAGAATTTTACTATTTTGAAGAGACTGTTCCTGGTAAAAATAAGGTTGAAGCTTACAGCATTATGAGATCGAACCCTACATTAGAGAAAATAATGGAATCGCATCTGACTAGGCCATCCAATTTTTTCTTATTTAAAACATTTATTTCTAAATTTGTTTAAGGGTGTTAATTGTGTTTTACTTCAATGTGAAACGTGTTATTTGGCAAAAAGTCATCGCATAATTTTTTCTCCAAAACCATACTCTCATTCAAACCCTTTTTACATGATCCATAGTGATGTTTGGGGACCTTCAAAAGTTAAAACATTATTTGGGAAAAGAGAATTTGTGATGTTTATTGTGATGAGGATTTGTGATGTTTATTGACGATCACACCAGAATATGTTAGGTTTATCTTATAAGCAAAAAATCAGAAGTTGAAAATTTTTTTAAAGATTTTTACAACATGATTGAAACTAAAATTGAAACTAAAATATGCATCCTTCGATCTGACAATGGAACTGAATATTTTAATGAATGTTTAGGGGAGTTCTTAATAAATAAAGACATAAGTCATCAATCTACCTGTCATGACACTCCACAACAAAATGGGATTGCTGAAAGAAAAAATAGACATTTACTTGGGGTTGCTCGGGCTATCATGTTTTCAATGAATGTTCCAAAATATTTATGGGGGCGCGCTGTTTTAACAGCATCATATTTAATAAACCGAATGTCAACTCGAGTTTTACAATATACAACTCCTCTAAACAAACTGAAAAAATAATTTTTTAAGTTTACGAATGTCTTCAAATATTCTTTTAAAAATCTTTGGATGCACATGTTTCGTTCATATTTCGAATAATTGCCGATCAAAATTGGATCCCAAATCTGAAAAATGCATTTTTTTTGGATATGCCTCAAATAAAAAGGGTTACAAATGCTTTAATCCTGTCACAAAAAAAATTTACATTAGTATGAATGTGACCATGGAAAAAATTCCCTTCTTTCACAAAAATCCACTTCAGGGGGAGTATAATATGGATGAAGAAGATGATTTTTGGCAAGTTTATAACCCATTACCAAAAATTATTGTAACATCAAGTACACCTGAGGTCTGTGAAAACAAAGAACCTGAAATAGTTATTGAAAATAAGGAGAACCCTAGTCAAGAGATACCTGGAAGTATCTTGTCTAATACAGAGGGAGAAATACCGCATAATATAACAGCAGAACCTCTTGTTTATTCTAAGGGAGAGACTCCATAAAAGAAAAAAAGTTCAAACTGAATCTTTAGCTCTCTCCCAATCTGAAGAACCGAATGATGGTCCTCAAGAAACATAGGTAATTTCTGATCCTGATCTTATTTTTTCACCAATAGAAGCTCAAGATTCAGAGATTATGAATCTGGATCTTCCTATAGCCTTTAGAAAAGGAACACGTTTTTGTACTATCAAATATCCCATTTCGAAATACCTATCATATAAAAAAATCTCACACAAACATCAAGTTTTTTTGTCAAAAATTTCTAATTTGTTTGAACCTAGAACAATACAGGAAGTTCTTAGTAATCCAAATTGGAGAATAGCAGTAAAGGAAGAGATTGATGCTCTTTTGAAAAATGGGACATGGGAAATTGTCACTCTACCAAGAAACAAATCTACTGTTGGGTGTAAATGGGTCTTCACTACTAAAGTCAAAGCTGATGGGAGTATCGAAAGATATAAAGCAATATTAGTAGCGAAAGGATTCACTCAAACTCATGGAATTGACTATCATGAGACATTCGGTCCGGTAGCCAAGATCAATTCTATTCGGATTTTACTGTCCATAGCAGCAAACCGTAATTGGCCCCTACATCAGCTCCACGTCAAAAATGCTTTTCTAAATGGTGAATTAGAGGAAGAGGTATTCATGGATCTTCCACCAGGATTTGAGAAGAATTTTGGAGAAGACAAAGTGTGCAGATTAAAGAAATCCTTGTATGGGCTCAAACAATCTCCTTACGCCTGGTTTGAGAGGTTTGGAAAGGTGATTACAACATATGGATACACTCAGAGTCAAGCTGATCATACTATGTTTTACAAACATTCAGAAACTGGTAAAGTCGCTATAC